TAATAAACTGATATATATATATAAATTTAGATTTTTATTGAAAAATTAGTCCATAGATTGTTCGCCTCACTCTATTATTTTTGTTTTATCAATCGATAAATAAAAACTTTCAACATTATTTCAAGAAAGCTAACTACCAACTAGCTACTTACACATCTACCTACTTATAGACCTCCCTACTAACTTAACCATCTACAACATACCAGAAACCTACCTATTTACCAACATATCTTCAAACCTACCTACAAAAAAAAAAAAATCTACAAATCTGAAACATCGTCTTATTCAGCAGTCAGACCTTTGAATAACCTACCACTCCATTACAAACAATTAGGTCATTACTCATGTTATAGCCATCAACTTAATGTTATCGAACTCCTTTGACGCCATGCATTCTTGATTCTAACGAAAAGTAAATTTAATTAATTTTTTTGCCTTGTGTTTAAATTGTTTTTAAATGTGATCCCCATCATTACGTTACTGATGTCATCATGTTTTTTTTTATTATTACTGTTAATAATTATCTATTAATAGTATGATAAAAAAATATTGGAAATCAAAAATAGTTTAATGGCGTATCTGTAACCCATAAATAAAAAATAAAAAAACATTTTTCATTAATGCCATCTATCTGAATCGCATATCAAAGCTTTCGTTTGTACATGTTTTCTTTTACAGAGATTCAGAAAGCGCAGAGAGGACATTGGAACACGAAATGGATGGTTCCAGATATGCAGAGCCAGTTGGTATCATTTTTAAAAATAATTTATTGTCTTAGCTCTCTTAGTATATACGCGATTCATTGGGAACAGGAGACATTCCTTAATGGACAAAACGTACATAGTTTTATGACCCTTCCCTTAACACACTATGTTACACATTTCTGGTTAACAGAAATGATCTCGTGTCATTTCATACGTTCTAAATAAATAGTGTAGCAAGCTTTGCTCAAGTAAGCTGATTTTAAATGTTTGAAGTTAAAGGAAAAAATTACCAAACTATTTCTAGTAAATACCATTCGTATTACGCAAATGTTGGTTGCTCCATCTCATTTTAACAAATCGAATAATGTCTGTATGTCTTTAGAACTAAACCCTTCTTGTTCGAAGTTTATTTATTTATTAGTTTAAACAATTAATGTTACCATTTTTTTTAAAGTAATGAATTTACAGTAAGCTATCTTTTAAATGCCATATAACACAAATTCTTATCATTCAGATCTTGTTAAAAGCATATTTAGGTATATTTTTTTACATACCAAAAGTATATCCTTAGAAAACAAAGAATGTGTATAAATCATTAAGAAACGACATCTATTTGATTGTTCACTCCAAACACAACACAGAATCCAATTAAAAGTCTCAGTCCCACTGAAATCGAAGAGAATGTCAAAAGGATCTCATCCATCATGTCCGGTCAAGCGGCTGCAGATATTCAAGACATCGAGGAATCATTGGATGACTTGTTGGACCTGTACAATTTCAACCAGCAATTTCAAGACCAAACCGGTCAGCTGCTTAATAAGTATGGAGTAACAGGTATTGCTTATACAGGATTTCAAAATAGACTTGTTAAATTTGAAAGAAGTCTGAATTTAATTGTACATGCTTCAGGATAACACTTATTACAGATTAGCGTTTGTCTCTATAATCTTTGAAAAAAAATTTCTTAACTTAGAATATCATACATCTAGTAAATTATCATAGGATCATAGAAATATGACAAGAAGCCTGTAATGACATTTTGCATTGACATTATCCTTTATTTGTCTAATGTACAGTTGAACGCAGAACAGCTTTGACCTACTGTTTCGTTCTTAACCGAGATATAGTTTATTCCCACAGCCAAAATAGTCGAAATTGTGGAAAAATCCAACCTGTCTGAAGATGACCAAGGATACGCCAAAGTCCATTTACCTGCGCTGACCATTTGTTTTAAATATTCCGACGCAAGTCCCGCATTTGCCATGGTATGAGCTGATAACATTTTCATGTTTACACTTTTCTTTCTTTGTTTTATGAACACCATTAATCACCGTTTCGTTCTCCTTCATTTAAACGAGTAACTCCATTCTTTGTAGATATTTAAAATGTATCATACAATTTTGTATTCGGAAATTTTTATATTTATGCGCTACGTTATACGACATCTAACTATATGACATATGTCTTAGGAACTCGCCAACCACGAAGTCGTTGAATTTTTAACGAAATGCCTGAAATACGAATCTTTGGCCTCGGAAAGTGTAAGTCATACCAGTTAAAGTTTTATGTTTATATAATTTTTTAAATTTCAAAATGTGTATGCCATTTCCAAAAAGCGCTTTATTTTTAGGACATTTGCATCGCGAGTGTTGTCTCGTTAAAAGATATGCAATTATACGTGTGCTAAAAATGTGCGCGGTATTTAAAAAAAAAAAAACACCATTTATTTGGAACAATAACAAAATTTTATCTGATCTTACATGTACTTTAATGTGTAAATTTCTGATCTGCTTATTAAAAATAATCTAAAACTATGACAAAGGTCAAAGATCAATTAAAGCTATTGAAGGCTAAAGTTAAAAAGACAAATTTTGGTGGCGGACCAACAAAAGAAAAAAAACAACAACAAAAAAAAAACATGGAAGTAAGTTACTTAGCATCAAAGGCTTATAAACAAAAATATATTTATTTAAAAAACGGATATTTAAAAAATAAGTTTAATTCACTATACTTTATATTGAAATTAAATATTTGATGAAATGGCAAATATGACAATTTTTTTTCTCTCCTTGTTTATTCTCAAGAGAAGCCATCTTGACTTCATTAAACTGTACATCGGCACTCTACACAACATAGCAGTCGATACAGACCGAAATAAACACTACTTCTTAGAAGCTCGGACGACCCAGGTAACAGTTCAGTCAATTTTCCATTCCCAGTGCTTAAGGGTGGGAACTGCTATGAAGGAGTTGAAATAAATAATTAGAAAGTAAAAAAAAACAAAAACAAAAAAAAACATTTCATTTTTCACTACTTAGTTGTTTAAAAAATTTTTTTTTTAAAAATTCATATTGTTTCATCAAAGACGCTGAAAAAATACTTTGGCCACGAAGATGACGTCATCAGAGTGACAGCTGTGCTAACTCTAAGTTATATAATCAGTGAACAGGACATAAAGCTTCTTAAGAACTTACCAGGTATTGTAAATTTTTTCCCCCCTGCCCCCCCCCCCCCCAATTTAATTATGCGTATTAATTTCTACTTAAGTGAGAATCTAAACTGGATATTTTTTTTTTGCTGGCATCCGTCCGTCACAATGTGACGATGGAATAGTCTTCCCGAGACGAAACCCACAAGGCCTGGAATTATTCTTTTAAGGATTCTAAGAAGGTTCCCGACACAGCAAAATGCCTCTCTCCACGCCGCTGGATAACCCGAGGGAACAGCATGTCGATGATACAGCTTGGCACCAGTGGCGTCGCAGGTGTTGTCGGAATGTTTCATTGTACAAATGTTATCCCCCCACGGGACTCCATCTCCAGGTTTTAATTCAGAGTTTCCTACTCTTAGATGTGTTGACATCAATGGTTAACGAATACCATGCAGCCGGGGTATTGGTGATGTTTTTGCTTGATTGGGGATTGAATTCACGACCATAAACTTGAGATTTGTTCAGTTTAGACCACTGAATAATGTTACATGTCAGCATAATGTTTAAGTTCATCAAAAACATTCTAAGTTAAATATCACTATTCTTTTGTTTACTTTGTCTTCTTTCTCTTTTCACTTGATAAGGAAAAAAACATTAATCTGTTGTTTTTTTTAACAGATAATATTGTTTCACTTTGCACGGAGTGGCTGAAGGAAGCCGTTGAAACTAGGACACGTACAAGCAGAGCTGGATTTCGTGTCAGGACACTGGTTTTAGGACTAGCCAATCTGTCGGTTAATGAGGAGATCAATCGTCAAGTATGCAATAGTTTTCATACTATTACCATATATCACAGGGTCGATTTAATCAAATTATATTCTCATAAAAATATCTGAATTATATGGTCATAAAAAAAATTCTGAACCAAAATTTTTAATACATATATATATATATATATATAAGTATATATATAGGTATATATATATATATATATATATATATATATATATATATATATATACAATATATTTATATAGATATAAAAAAAAATCTAAAAAAAAATTTATAATACATATATATATATATATATATATATATATATATATATATATATATATATATATATATATATATATATATATATATATATATACAATATATTCGAATGCTTGACCAACTTATAACAAATCACAAGCTGCTTTTTAAAAACGTACTGAAAAATTAGTTGTTTTTTCTTAAAAGCATTAAATAAAGTCATGAACTTTACTACGCTAATCTAAGATGTTGCATTTCTTTAGCTTAAATGTCAAGTCAGTTTGCAGTTGTTGCGTGACGTAATGCAAAATACCAATGACGATAAAGAGAGGTCTGCTTGTGAAAAGTTGTTAAATGCAAAAGATATTCCAGGTAAGTAAGGCAACGTTTTTATTTAAAAATTAAAAAAAAAAAAAAAATTTCAAACAATTTTAAGACAAATAAATAAATAAAATAATGATTTATAATATTTTTACATTTGAAATCAATGTGCTTAAATGTTCTACATGCCGAAACTTTTCAAAAGATTTTCCCAAGCATCACTTTTAATATTAAACTTTATGTTCAACGCTAAAATTTAGAAGAAAAAAAATGAAAAAATCTAATTAATTTGTAATAATTTAACTCAATTTATCAGCTTGTTCAATAATTTTTCAACGGTTATCTTTTTGTTGTCAACTTATTTAAAGCTAGATTACTCAACTTTTTTTTTTTTATAGATCTTAGGCCACCACAAAAATTAAGTAAGTGCAATTTTATGACTACTTCACGAAATTCGCAAACTCAAGACAAATACAAGAAGAGATCCCAAAATACCCAGACATCCGATGGTGTCATGTCTACATCGCAACACACTCAACCACAAGAATGTAATAAGTTTACGTCACGGTGTGCCCAGACTTCAGATGGTGAAATGCTAGCATTACAAAAACAGGCTCAACGTAAAGACGTCTGCATGGTGACACCCAAACAAGGGATGACCTCAAAAATGGAAGTAAGTACCTTGGTAGTATAAGGTAAATAGTATATACACACATTAAATAGTTTTTGTCTACATGTTGTGTCACTGAAAATACATTTTTTCCTCTTTTAAGAAAGACCGTGTGTCCCTCTGAAAACAAAAATTGTTCAACATCTTTTAAATAAGGCTTCAAATATATATTCCAGATGGTCTGTTCTTCACAAACAGCATTAAAGGAGCTTGATATTCTGCTTGTTGGTAAGACCGGATACGGTAAGAGTGCTGCTGGCAACACAATCATTGGCCATTCAGTTTTTAAAAGTGTTGCCTCAGTTTCGTCAGTGACTAAAGACGTCTCATACAGAATTGTTAACTTTGAAGACGTGGTCTTGAAAATTGTAGATGGTCCCGGTGTAGCTGATACATCGGACACCACTGATATAAAAAACACTTGCAATCTTATTATCGATAAGATGAAAGATGCAATAATTCTGAGTCCCGAAGGGTACCACGCATTTCTCCTCGTGATTAAGTTTGGGAACAGGTTTACGGCAGAAGACAATTTGAGTGTAGTCATTTTAAAACAAATATTTGGGAAAGACTTTGTCGCAAAGTACTGTATATTGCTGGTAAATGGCGGAGACAACTTCAAAGTAGAAAACCCGAATACATGCTTCAAAGATTGGTGTAAAGAACAAACGGGAGTTTTTCAAAGTCTCCTATGCGAGTGCAATAACAGAGCAGTGTTGTTTGATAACAAATCTAAGGATCCCAGAGTAAGAATCGAACAGGTAAAAGAACTGGTTAGGGTCATCGAATCTCTCCCAAATGGTGGGCAACGATACACGGACGCTCGATTCCAAGAGATAGCTGAACATAGAGAGCAATTACTCCTGGAGGCAAAAGAACCAATGATTAGGGAAGAAACTCTAAAACAAGTCAGTCAGATCATAACAAATATTGAACGAGTATCCATGCTTGAAGATAGTGAACAACTGGATGAACTCCAGAAAATCCGGTTGCGAGCCAAAGAAATCGAAAGGGAAGTAATTGAGCGCGACAATGGAACGGATGTTCTCAAGTATGCTCTTCAAACTACTGACACTCTGAAAAAAACTATCGAAAATAAAATCGATACTCTTAAAAAGCTGATTGCTGAAAAAGAAAAAACAATGAAACTAGAGGAGGATTTAATTGAAAGAAAAGAGAAATTCGAAAAAAGAAACAGAGAAGAAATGCGACTTGTGGAAGAAGAGCTTAATAATGTGTTGGAGTTGAACAGATTGGAATCGGAGAAAATGAGATTACAAAACGATAAATTGAGCAGAGCATTCGAAGAGCGAGAAAGCAAATTGAGACGAGCTTTAGAGTTCGACCGTCGGGATGCTACTGCCTTAAAAGATAAATTAAAGCTATTGGAGGCTGAACTTAAAAATCCAAATTTGGAAGCGGACCAACAAAAGAAACTTGAAAAGGAAAAGAAAAATCTTAACAAGGAACTGGACACTTTATCGTTAACAATTGAATCTCATGAAAAGAATCTCACAGAACTCATCAACACGGAACGAGTGAAAGCTCGTCAACACTTTGATAAAGAAACGAAGAAAATGGAGAAGAAATTGCGGCAGGTGATAGAATTGTCTGACACAAAAATTAAGGAAATGAAAGAAAGAGAGAACAGACTAATAAAAGACTTTGAAACAGAAAAAGAAAGTCTCGGCGCCCGCTTTCTCCTCGCCGCCAGGGGGCTGGTAGATTTAAAGGACAAAGAGCATAAAGCGAATATAAAGAAGGTTTGCTCTTTGTTCGAAAACATGCAGAACGATCATGTTCGAGCCGAAAAGGAAAAGGCCAAGGGGAAAAAATCGCGGTGTTCAACGTCATAATGCAAACACGGTCCTGGGCCGCAGTCTTGAAAGGGAATACGATTTCAGAGAGAGTGAGAAAGATTGTCCTCTTCGTGTTTACGAATTGATGATTTTACAAGTTAAACGACCAGCATTGAAATCAGTTAAATCTGCTATGGAAAATATGACTTTGCTCTGTCCAATAAATGTCTGTTTGGGATAAAACGAGGAGATCTTATATAAGTGTAAATATAAACATTCTTTAAATTTACATAAAGAATCAAGTGAAAATAGGACAAGAAATATAGTAATAGGGAGAGAGTGAGAGATCGAAAGAGAGAACGAGTTGGGACAAGACTCTGTGCTTAAGTTAAAAACATAGATATCTTGGAAACATTTACACTAAAGAATAGTTTTTTATTTCAAATTTGATTAGTCCTAAAACGTTCTATCCTTAATTATTTAATCTCCTTTTCACTTACACTTGAATCAATTTCTACATAATGAAAGATAGTTATTTCTTTGCAGTGTAGTTTTGATTTCTTCTATGAGTTCTTCTTATGCTTGTTCAATGTTCTCATGATTAATTAATATTAGCTATTATTTTATATGAGTTCTTGTTATGCTACTTGTATATGCTCATGTTTAATATAAGTAATTATTTTATATAAGCTTTGTTATAAGTAGATTTTATCTTATTTTGCTTTATCCATCAATCCTTGTGGCCCTACAGCCCATGTAAGGCTTTGGCCTGCCTCACCACATCCTTTCTCTCAGAACTAACTTATGGTGCTGTAGATCCCTCTCCACGTCATCTATTCATTTAAGCCTAGGTCTGTCTTTGAGCCGTTTTCTTCTGGGGTTTTGGTGGAGCACTCTCTTCACTCCTCTGTCTTTTTTCATTCTTTTTAATTATCAAGCCCAGGGCAGCCTGACCTTTTTTATTTCTGCTACTAAAATGGGATCCTGACATAGACTATGCAATTCCTGTTGGGTTCCTAAACTTCATCCATATTCATCCTTTGTTGGGTTCCTAAACTCCATCCATATTCATCCTTTGTTGGTTCGTGAATTTTTCGGAAAACTTTTCTCTGCCGTGTTCTTTTCTGTCTTTTTTGTTAGGGTCCAAGTTTTACTTGCGTATGTTTCAACTGGTCTGATTTCAGTGTCATCTAATGGCTTTCTTTGTTTTTCTTGCTATAGTTTAACTTTTGATTATTTTTTTACTACTAAAGTATGCCATACGTCCGAAAGATATTCTTTATTTTATCTATGTTAGTAATTCGTTTATCTAATTTAAACAATATCCTACGTACTTTAATTGATTTACTTTTTTCTAAAGTGTGGTTTCTAATTTAAATGAAATCGCCAGTCTGTTCTTCTTTTAACATAGTCATGTCTTTTGGTTTTTTTTAATCGTTAACTTCCCGTCCTACTTGTGGCGACGCGTTTTCTAATTCAATATATGCCACGAAAGTTGAACGAAAAAACAAATTGTTTTATGTTCTTTCAAATTTTAAATAAAAATGTATCAGCAAATGTGAATAACCGTGTCTGATTAATCAGTATTGCGTCTTAGTATCAGCTCACACGATTAAATTGCTTTCAAAAGTGGCTTCAAATTTTTGTATATACGCACAATTTTGTGCGATGATTCCTTGTTTTTGGACAAACATGGTAATTTGATCAAATAGTGAGTTTGAAAGTTGTAACAAGGCCTCATACACAGCTTGCATCATATTTATGATAGAAAATTTGATCGGGTCAACTGAGCGTTAAAGAATGACATGTCTAATGTTCATCATGTAACCATTTTCTCTTCTGATAGGCTGCCGTTTTGTCAAATTACGTTTACGTTCAAATTAATAAAACAAATAAAATAAAGTAACTGATGCATTTATTAATATGATCATCTTTCTTTTTTTATGGTCTTGCTCATTTTATTATAGAACTAAAATAAGAAGTTTATGGAAATTTGTATTTAACTTAAATTATACCACAAGCTAATGTTTTTTTAAAGAAAAATTATTGCATTAAAAGATGCCATGATTTGAAAATTTAAATAAAAATAGGTTTAAATTCACATTAAACAAATTAACAAGTAAAAAATTGCCTTCATTATAATCAGAATAATCGTTAAGAAATCTTTTTTTTAAATCTTTGGGAAAAGAAGGGGGGGGGGGCTGAAAAATATATGTAAAATGATTTCAACTTTTTTTATACAGTCAACAAAATTTTAACTTTGTTAAATTCAACTTTATTAGAGAATAAAAAAATATTTTAAATAATAAATAATCTAGGTGATATGCAGAATTAAAAAATGAAATAATCACAACTGTATGATTGTCTAAAAGTAATTGCGTCTTTCCTTTTCCTCTACAATGTTAAAATTTCAATTCGAACATGCTTTATTGTGTATTAAAACATTATGTTTAAAGTGTTTTCAATAAGATTGTTGATGTTCGGTGGAAATTAATTTATTAATTTTAACAAACTCCTTAAAATTATATTATAAAAACGTCAACAAATTAAATTAAAAAGATTCCACCTGAATTATATGCGGCAACTTTTGTGCAGTCAAAGGCAAAAAAAGCAACAACAAAAAATTGACCCAAATGATTTCTAGAACAAACCAACATGATAGCATTTTTCTACTCAAGGCAAAGACGGCTTCACTGGTAAGGTCAGATCATGTCAAGAGAAATTATCAAGGCTTTCGTCCTAATGCATCTGTTGTACGGTGAACTTAGAGAGGACATGTGTGCCGGAGACGAGCTTAAGATTACCAAGGACAATTTAATTTAAAACAGAGAGATGGAATAAAATATTAAAGTAACTGTAACTGGTTTATAAAAGATGTTTGATTTTGTTTATTTAAATGTACTTTTAAAAAAAAATTGTTTTGAAACAACCATTATGATTTGTGGCCGGCTGACTTTGCCTTGAAAATCCCAGTCAATTGTGGTCGACTGACTGTGCGTTGTTAATCCCAGTCAACGGTGGCCAGCTATTGTGCGTTGTTAATCCCAGTCAACGGTGGCAGCTGACTGTGCGTTGTTAATCCCAGTCAATGGTGGCAGCTGTCTGTGCGTTGTTAATCCCAGTCAATGGTGGCAGCTGACTGTGCGTTGTTAATCACAGTCAACGGCGGCAGCTGACTGTGCGTTGTTAATCACAGTCAACGGCGGCAGCTGACTGTGCGTTGTTAATCCCAGTCAATGGTGGTAGCTGACTGTGCTGTCAAAATATGGCAATTCCAAAGTTGTGGAGCTCAATGTTCAGCCAAACAATATAACAGAGAAAAAAAACCCATCAATACAAGCACCATGGCTGGATAGGAAACGTTATCATTGAATGTAAAACCATCTAAGAAAAGACAAACCCTGAATCTGAATTCAAACCCGAAGAAAGAGTCCTATTTACACATTGTAAATTCCGTTAGCTCTCGTGTCGTAAAGCTCATAAAACAGCAGAGTGCTGCACAATAAAAAATCAACAAGATTGCTTATCATTTACTGAATCCTATTTAATCTTCCACGCGTCTTATCAAGTCTTGCCATTGGATCCAAATAGTACAGGACTAGAGCGAGAGGCTGTCGAATGGATCAACCTCCCAACTTTTTAAATGAAATACAATGCAATACAAGGCTACTACTTACTTCAAATAAGCCTTGGTACTGTTCGTATGAGCAATAATGAGTTAATGACGTAGTTTAATATTAAATAGGCTAAGAAATGGTATAGCTACATAAGTTTATACTGCAAAAAAATCACTCACCATTTTAAAAAGAACCAAATAAGCTAGCTAATGTTTCAGAGTTTCATTTATTATATAAAGGAAAACGTTCAGGCCATTTGCAGTAAACGGTAGAACAAGATATTAGTTACAAGTTGAAAGGAATACACAATATAATCAATTGAAAAATTACAGCACAATGCCTTTGTTAAAAAAGAAACAACAAAGAATAAGAAATTTTTTAAAAAAATATTTAGCTGGTCGGAAGATGTCATAACTTAGTTCATCCCCAGGCATGTCACAGAATGTTTGACATACGGATACTTAAGTCACACAAGAAACGCTAAGAGCAGTCAATAAATCAGTGAGATAGTTTCCAAACTTAAATCGTATTTCTTTGCTCAAAATTTCATTTTACACCCATCAAATCATTGTTGGTTTTGAAAAGCATATTTTAGTCAGCCAAACGTGCAATAATAAATTAATACATATACCAGTCTTAGATAAACTTTTAGTAGTTCAGATATTTTTTTTGATTCAAGGGCTGTTTTATAAATTATGTCTGCTGAGAAAACAGTTAGTGAACCGCAGTCTAAAAAAAAATGGAGTGTGCTGTTTGGACGGGGAAAAAAAAAGGGGGGGGGGGTCAAAATGAAAAGAGAGACTTTTGTACAATCGAACAACCGATGAATGTTCCAGACCGATGACATATATTACATGGTTCTAATGTTGATATTTTTTTTCCTTTGCATTGTCATCAAAAGTGATAGAGGTGATTCGAATAAAAACGTATTTCCCGGAAAGATTGCACAGCTGCAGAAATAATCAATCTATCGGTCAAACGTTTTAAATATGGATTTCAAGGCACATTATGCATATTATAAGATAAAGAGCTTTTTATTGATAACCCTAAATGGACATTTTATAACATTTTTTTGCACATATTGCTTTCATTCTTAAAAGTCTTAGTCTGTATGTTTTTGTTGTACTCTAAACAATTCTCAGATAAGCATGTTTTGCAAATAAACCATTTTTAACATATTTTAAATTATTGTTCACTCGAGCACGTGACGACTAGAAATGATCGATTTGTTTATCGAATATATGCCTACCATGTTATTTTACAAAATTGATATGTTTTACACAATGGGCTTGAAGCCTCCATAATTTTTTAAAGACACGTGAACATTTAAATGGAGAATAACGATTA